TATGTATTAACAAAAAAAAGTATATTAATACTTACAATAAAAAAAGTTTAATATAATAGTAATTAATTTAACAGTCACTATTAAAACATAATAAAATCATGAAAAAGAAATCAAAAAAATATTGTATAAATGATAAATAGCTCTTTAAACTTTGATTGCAAATAAATTGAGTATTTGATAAAAATATTTAATATATGATAAATAAGAAGAATTAACTGAATAACAATTTCATTACGATATTTCATGTATGACTTGAAATATTAATGATGTAACAAATAAATAATTTCTTATCTTCAAAACTTTATTATTTACCACTACATAAATACATAGGTACCTGTACAAATGCATAGTACATGTATTCAATTACAGTAAAATTTATTCAATTAATTCATTCAATTTTTTCTGTTTTAAATACTTGTCTACTTCCAGTATGATATTTCCTATATTCTGTACTTCTGTAGCTTGCTTCCATGCCACAATACTAACAGTGACTGAATTTAGAATAAGTAATATTGATAAATGTGGGAGTCCCGGTCTTATTACACTCCACCAAAATCTATAAAGTTCTCGCCCTTCAGTCCAGTAAGGTACCCTTAATCCTAGATATCCAGCAATCTATATCAAAAGAAAAACATGAATGGTAGAGAAATATTATATAATTAGAGAAACAAAATATTATGTGTAAAAGTAATAATTTTACCCCAAGACACAGTGAAGAAAATGTAATTGCTGGAAAACCCACAGCCACAAGATTTGTATATAACATTGCCTTTAGTTCCATACATGTAAAACAATTTGGTTTATATGTCAGTAATTCGTCTGTTACAAGCTAAAAATATTAAATCATTGTTAACAGCAAAACAAATAAAGAATTTTATTAAATTAAGAATGATAGAAGGATAACAACACACTTTTTTAAAAAAGTGACTTCCAAATACACCTCCTCCAATGACTGCAAAGACGTTACTAACTACAAATCCATTTCTATGTAATTTTAATTTTCTTCTAAACATGGTATTAACAATTATATTGCTTACAGCACAGATTCCTGCAATACATTTATCTCCATGCAAAATTGCCTGTCTAAAGTGAAAAGAGTAGAAACAAAAACTTTATCAACGTGTGGTATATATTATTAAAAATAAGTTTGTATTTAATTATAAATAAAAGATACGTACACTTCACTTCTTGGTTCCCACTTAGATATTAAATTCCATTGTTCTTCCTTTGCTGTGCTGGGTGATATATACTCATAATCCGCAGGGACATCATGTTTGCTTTTTATAGGTACCAATACCATTTTAAGCGTTCTGAAAGTTCAGTCTAACATAAAAATACGCACGTGGTTAAGGATTGTATATCACTATATATTTCATTATCCAACATTATTCTAACCTACACGAATATCGTACTATTACTGTAACCAAATTTACAATACTGTAAATTATTTAGAAAATGTGCAATGCATTGTCAAAACTCGGAAATTGTGAAATGCAAGAAAATACTAAATTACATTCAAATTACATTCGTTATTATTAATAATCGCATCTTAAAATATCTTCCGGTAATTCCTCGTGTAATTCATAATTTGATGACTTACAACTGAATTACGATGTTCAAACAATAGAAACAAACAGATATTTAATGCGGTAGAAGTTATTTCCGAAGAAACAACTTCAAGATCTCTACACATGACAAATACAAATAATATAATTTTTTGTCTACGAATCTGAATTATCGATATGGACAAAATTAGCACCACTGCTCTAGCGGATTTTAACCAAACTCTAAACATGTCGTTTAGTTCACCGCCACGAGGTGGTGTCATTGTAACCTTCGGTTACTCGCGACACATACCGGCCGCGTATCGAAACACAATTATAAATTGCAATCAGACGGTCGATATACTCGGCGACTTATGTCTATTAGGAAAAAACGTTTATTTCCTAATAGTCTGAGAAGACTTCCGTTGATTCCCCGTAATTTTAACAAGATCACTGAAGTGATTAAATATCTCGTAATCTTCTCTAAGGAGCTTGCGACGGAAAATCGTGTTCGGTCACGTTTGCCCGTTGCACTCACAAGGGGGTTGCTTTTACGGGGTAGAGCGTCACAAGGCGACCTGACGTCACGCATGGTGCGATCGACCAATCGGAGGTGGCGTTCTCGCGACTAGTCAGTTTTCCGGCTGCTAGAGTAAGCGCGACGCCATATTGACTGTGGCCGAGTGGTGGCGGCCTGTGTTTATATCCGTTTCGTTTTACCACGTTTCGACGGCCCACCGGGAGGTCTCGCGAGTGACGTGTCGAGCCGTGTACGTGCCCGTCTACGCCGCCCGTGGAAACAGGTCGTCGATTCGCGTGACAATAGTGTACCGTGCGCGATCTTCTAGTATCGAAGTGACACGCCGTGCTTTGTGCTACACTCTTCTCTCGTTTCTTCTCCCTTCCGCGAAAACCAGTGCCTCGTTCACGTTTCTCCCCTCCTCCACCCCTGTCGACCACCCTTTCGGTCACACGACTCTGTGCTCTGACGGTTACAAATCAACAATTCCATCGAGGATTTACTCGACGCCAGGAAAGATGCCAGTCCGTAAGCAAGGTGGTAAGCTCTCCTTATTCTATCGAAACAAAAGCCACCCCCTGTGCTTGTCGATTCCATGAAAAATCGGGAATCGCCGAGTGGGAGGGGCGATAGGTACGGGTCACTCGGTCAGCTGTCATCTGGCTGTCAGTTGCATGCCTCTTTAATTTCTCTCTCTTTTTCTCCAACCCTCTCTCCCTTTCTTTTCTCCCCCACCCTAACCCCTCTAGAATTCTGCTTTTCTCGTTGATACGAAATTCATCGTGTTCCATGCGCGATTGGTTTCTAACGTGACGAGGAGATCATCCCGAACGTCCGCGTGAATCCTTCTCTAGGCAGCGGCTGGTCCGTGCAGAATTCGCGAACTGGTTGTTATTGTTGGTTTTTCTCGTTCGGGAGCGAGTTGCGCACTAGGCACGACCTTGAATCGCATACTTAATCGAGAGAGGTCGCGTGTCTACAGGACAGAGAAAAGATTATCGCCTGCGACGTAATCAAGCACGATTATTAGGGGGATGTAACGCAGCCGATGTAACTTGTTGGAGTTTCGACCACGTGCGATGTCACTCGGCTACGCGTTCATGCATTGTTTCGTGAATGCGAACGGGAATCTGGCGTGGGTTATTGTTAAAAGTCAATTAAACTTGTTGTTCGCGCGATCGTTCGCTTCCCTTGTACGATTTCGTATTGTTGTCCATGTTTGTTAATTGCGAATCACTGCACGCACCGTATTCTATTCTAATTTAGAATAGTTGGGATAAATCGGTCACTAATTTTAGTCGAATTATTATATTCATTTGATCGCCATTGTCCAGGCTTATACCATTGTTGTGTTATTATTCGGGAACATTAGATGAGAAATTTCTATCAAGAGTTTCTTTCATACGGGTGTCGATGGCAATCAGATCGATGCACTTTTGAGGAAGCAACACATCGATTTCAACAATTTTCATGCATTGTTCTCTATACTTTCGCGACCTATTTTATTCACATCGTGACCCAGTTAGAGGTTACGATTCGAATTTCGAAAAACCTTGGCCGTGTGTGCATTAGAATGGGAAACATTAATGCTACGTATTCGGGGGAGCATCGATTACACGCACCCGATGCACGATCCCACGTTCATATCAATGTAGGCCAATATAGAGTGTGTTGCAATAATCACACGGCTGTTAGTTGTCGGTGTTTGGACAGGGGCCAAGAAAACGCAATAATTTCAGCTCTGCTGGGACTCTTGTGCCACGGTTATGCGACGAGGAACTCACGGCCATGGGCTCGGTCGTCCGTGCGTCGCTTCTGATCTCGAAATTTCCTCTCTAAATCTCTTCTGTCTCTCCACTCCCCGTTTACGATCGTCCGCAACGCGTTTATTTCAATTCTCGTTCGAGTTTATTTTTGTTTTAATTACCCGGCGGAGGCGATACTGTTGCTATAATGTCATCGCATCACGTGTTTTTACGTTTTCAAATGAAAGGTAAACGTACGCGTAGGAACCAGGATTCATATATTGTACACACTTGCGTCGTGAACTTAGCTGCGGTAAACCGATAAGGAAATTCAATTATATGCTCCTGTTAAACGGGTGAAATTATATAATCGCTTATTAAATGTAGGATATAGTAATGACTCTAACCCTGTCGTATACTCTAACCATCTCCACTAATAACTGTGACATAATTGTTATTGCAAATGTGATAGCGTAGTTGCTAAATGGACTGTGGTTATTGTCTATTAATGTGTACACAGTATACCTAATCTAATTGCTGTGCCGTGATGTAATATCTTCCTAATATTATTATACAATGTCAATTACATCATGAGCGTAATTATAATCAGTATGTCGCACGCGGATCTTATTTGATAACAAAGTATGATTGTTCACGATTTCCGTGCGTTTATAACATTACACCTACAGGCAGGTTTTCAGTTCGTTGTCTTCGATTTATTATTGTGGAAAGGCATGAAACGAATTTGATGTATAAAAGAGGACTTTTCGCAGTACCAAATGCTCGTTGTCCTCTTGTGGGGATACGAGGAAAACGAGTACTCTTTCGTACCACGTGCCAGCAAGCATCGCACCTCTTCCCGCGAGCCGTATCGATCGTCAGAAAGAATTTCAGATGCTTTCTACACCCCTGAAAAATGAATTTCCGCGTGTTAATCGAGCCCTTGCTGAACCGATAGACTTTTCAATAATATCGTGCGTGTTTCGCGACTGCTGTTAACGAATCAGCAATAATTTCTATCGTCGCTTTCGTTACTCTTTTCTCTTCCGCACAGCGAACAAATATTTGCGGGACAGACGAAAAAAGAGAAAAGAATAACACTTGGCATGCTCTCTGAAGTTACGGAAGAATAGGAATGCAGGTACAATTCCGTGCCGAAGCCTATCGTTCGCGGGGCTAAAAAGCTAGCTCGCCCCAAAAAATTTTTGGCAAGCGATAGGGGCGCGGTATTGTTCGCGGTGACCTATCGCGTAATGCTTCGGCCGCTTGCTTCATTTAATATTTCCGGAATTCCCATTGTAACGCTCGTTCGATTCCCTATTTCTCTCGCATCAAGTTGAAACAGTTTGACTATTTCATCAGCGGTAGTAGATTTGGACAGCGTGCGAACAGACGTTCAAGTTTTTCGTACGAGTAGCAGGATTATCACGAAATTTTTAAAGCGAATAAATTTTCAGTCATTCTTTGAGAGGAATGGTGTAAATTCGATCTTTGAAATGGGATTTGAACTTTGCGCGAGAACGCCTTCGTCCGACAGTAATTGTGCGAAAGTCGCGGCCAATGTGGCTCTAGAGCTTCAGGCGTTTCATAAATTTCCCGGTTTTTAATCAAACGTAAAGTAAATTTGAAGTTTTCGGAAGTATATTTGATACGAATTGTGTCATTGTTTGATATTCGTATAGCTATCCGTTGAGCAGTATGCATATTGCACGACAAAATATTGGTTAGCTACCTTAGAAATCTTGTGTTACTCGTTATGAATTACATGGAATTAACGGGTTCGCGTATGCAAATACTCGCGTTACGCTTGTCCGATGTTTGGAATCATTAAAATCGCCTTCAATTACCATCGTTTCGTAGTTATTTAGAAATATTCGCGGTACGTTAATGGCGCGGAGCGGTTTTTCACCGCGGCGTTCAAGCTTTGAGCGCCTTGTGCTGCGTGAAAAAGTTTGCGCCCCTCCCGCCCTGGCCCGTAAGACGATATGAGTGCGAGAGGCTGCACCGACGCCGATAGTTTTCAATTTCTGCGGTGCAGGCGCTTCGTAGGCAAAGACGAGGAGAGAGTCAAGGATGGTTTATGGGTCGGTGATTCGCTTACCCCGGCAACCCGTGAAGCTTTTATGCATGCCGATGTATGTACATTTCATATTCCGCCGCGCGTTTCTACATATAATGCGAACGCGTTTCTTCATATTTATACTCGCAGCGTTTTAATTCATCAGTTCACGTTATATACAATACTCATTATAATCAGTTAGCGAACGATTTCATCAACAAAAATACATCGTGAACACAAAACCAAAGATTTCCTCTGCCAAGGTGATTAATACATTCATTAACTTAATTAATATTTCCATATATACTACAATAATCCACCAGTTTGTATTTTTGATAATTACTTCGTTTGATAATATTCCGTTACTCCTATCTTAGTTCAAACTTCAATACCATTTGCATTTACAAAATTGAATGTATCCCGAAGTGTAATGATCAGGATACAATAAATCTTCCTCTGTACGTGATTAGTAACGCAAATAACGTTAACAATAACGTTCACAATAAACTACAAGGATTTACGCGAATAGTGAAGTCGGGTCTCGGCGCGCGTGCGAGTTCATAAAATACCGTGACGTGGTTCTTTCGCTCCGTTCCATATCGATTACCGGCGTACGGGATCACCGAAGGTTCTCGCTGTTTTTCCGTGTTCACCGGTGTGTCACGCGCATATTTTTAATTAATCCGTTGGTGGCTGTCCACGTTGGGTTTCTGTGCGAGCGCCTCATTTCGAACGATTATTTCAAACGAGCACCGTGTTTCGGTACGTAAATTTGTAATAGCTCGGCGTGCGCGCACGTAGGCGTGATGTATGCGGACCGGAGACGATATAGGACGAAAGGGGAGACAGCGTGGCTGATAATGAGAGCAATGAATGGGAAGTGGGGCGAGGGCTTATGTACTTACTCTTCTCGCGGCGATGCGCTCGCCGTTTCGCAGAA